TTTTTGGTGTGTTGTGTGTTTGTTGATTTTTTTTTGTTTGTTTTTGTTTTACTTTAAATATGCGTATCTATCTAAAGGTTGAGAGGGTGGCGGTGGCTGCTGACGGCGGCGTTCCCTTATTTATGCGAGCTGAAGCCGAACGCCGGCCCCCCTGATCCTCCGCTCCTGTGGAAATGCACGTTCTGCCACTTGTTGTCCCTCTTGTGCCAGACTCTGCTCTCCTCCGACTGATGGGTGTGGGCCTGACCATGTCTGAAAATTTTATGGAATTTAATTTCAAGTACTTCTCTTTACATTTTCTTCTATATCTCAACAACTATCAACGTTATTATCAACAATAAAGGTGGAAGTAAAAGATAACACTATAGGGAACAAAATGAACATAAAGGAAAAATTGTATCTCTTGCAGATTTCTCGTAATTAGCTGTCAAAATTGATGTAAAGAAATTTGTAGCAGTGTCTTTATATTTTCATCTATATCTAGATAACCATGAAAGCTATTTTTGATATTAAATACACAATTTAAAGTTAAAACTATAAGAAATAAAATGAGTGTAGGTATAAAGTTGTGTCTCTTGTTGATTTTGTGTAATTCGTTGTCAAAGTTGAATTAATGTAATTTGAAGTTATCGAAATGCAATATCTTTATATTTTTATCTATATCTAGACAACCATGAAAGCTATTTTTAATATTAAATGCACATTTTAAAGCTAAAACTACAAGGAATAAAATGAGTGTAGGTATAAAGTTGCATCTTTTGTAGATATTTTGTAATTCGTTGTCAAAGTAGAATTAATGTAATTTGAAGTGATCGAAATGCAATGTCTTTATATTTTCATCTATATCTCGACAACCATGAAAGCTATTTTTGATATTAAATGCACATTTTAAAGTTAAAACTAAAAGGAATAAAATGCGTGTAGGTATAAAGTTGTATCTGAAGTAGATTTTGAGTAATTCATTATCAAAGTTGAAGTAACTAAATTTTAATTTATATTTGAAGAAGGTACTTACTTATCCATGTACTGGGTCAGTCGAACGTATGCAATGCAAGCGGAATCTTCACCGAGCAGATGCACGTGAGGGTTCAAAATAGTGGTGTTCACCGTTTTACAAGTCTTTAATACTAAAACAAACAACAAGAAAACAATATTAGTAAACAAAATATTAATAATTACATATCTTATTTTAGTTCTAATTAGTTCAGAAAATTGACTGGAAAAAAAAATTGGAAAAATTGTTGCATATTTTGTTAAAATTTCCCATTTATTAATAACACGTAAATTTCAATGCTTAAAGAAACGTAAATTTCAACTAATTAAAGAATAAATCTGTGAGAGTTTAGGAAATTCCAGAAAAAAAAACAAAGCGAATAGAACAACAAACTTTTCTATCCTCACTCTGAATTCGTTTGTTAGCTACAATTGAAATTCACATTTCGTGCATGCAAATCCATGTATAAATTTGAAATATCGGACGTGATTTCGATTTAACAAAAAAAAAACTGGAACATTCGTGATTCCACAACATACAGATTTGTAAATAAAAAAAAACTAAATGAAACATTTACACGCCTCGTGCAGCAAACATAAAATGCAATGCAAAACGTGTAAAAGAAAAAAAGATGAAAAAAATAAAATAAAATAAATAAAGATTACATATTAAAAGCGTGCTGCATTGCGATAAATGAAAATTAATTGCGTGCTTTAACAACGAAGTGTTATAGTTTTGTTGTATTTTTTTTCTTCTCTCATTTTGCGTTGCTTTTTGCTCCAATTATTTAACGATTTGTGTACCAGAAACTGGAACACATTTAATTCGTTTGTTTCTTTTTTGCATTTTGTTTGCAACCGTTACGTGATTTAATATTAAATCTTCTATTTAACATTTTTATAATTGTTTAATTCTTGCAATCATACAGGTTTTTTTTAAAGAAGTTATTTGAATTGATCGAAATGCAATGTCTCTACATTTTCATCTATATCTAGACACCCATGAACCCCATTAAATATATTAAACATACATATTAAAGCAAAAACTGTAAGGAATAAAATGATCGTAAGCATAAAATTATATCTCTTGTAGATTTTGTGTAATTCGATGTCAAAGTTGAAGTAATGAAATTTTAAGGAGAATAAATGAAACGTTTCCTCATTTTCATTGTTTTTTTCTTTTTGTTTTCAACCGTTACGTGATTTAATATTAAATCTTCTATTTAACATTTTTCTAATTGTTTAATTCTGGCAATCAAATCGGTTTTTTTAAAAGAAGTTATTTGAATTGATCGAAATGCAATGTCTCTACATTTTCATCTATATCTAGACACCCATGAATCCCATGAAATATACTAAACATGTATATTAAAGCAAAAACTATAAGGAATAAAATGAGTGTAAGCATAAAATTATATCTCTTGTAGTTTTTTTGTAATTCGATATCAAAGTTGAGGTAATGAAATTTTAAGGAGAACAAATGAAAAGTTTTCTCATTTTCATTGTTTTTCTCTTTTTGTTTTCAACCGTTACTTGATTTAATATTAAATTTTCTATTTAACATTTTTCTAATTGTTTAATTCTTGCAATCATACAGGTTTTTATTATAGAAGTTATTTGAAGTAATTGAAACGCAATGTCTTTACATTTTCATCTATATCTAGACAACCATGAATCTCATTAAATATATTAAAAATACATATGAAAGCAAAAACTACAAGGAATAAAATGAGTGTAAGCATAAAATTATATCTCTTGTAGATTTTGTGTAATTCGATGTCAAATTTAAGTAATAAAATTTTAAAGAACAAATAAAAAGTTTTCTCATTTTCATTGTTTTTCTCTTTTTGTTTTTTGTTTCAACTTGATTTAATATTAAATCTTCTATTTATCATTTTTTTAATTGCTCATTTCTTAGAATTATATAGTTTTAATTATATGAGTTATTTGATTAACTAAAATTTTCAAAAATTATGGGAAAAAAAATTCCATAACAAAATTAATTTTTTTGGTAAATTTTTCAAAGATTTTCAATGCAAAATATTGATGTATTTATTAGTAGAATTGTTCTTAATTGGATTATGTATGAAAAGCACAAAAAACGTACGTTTTCAAAACATGCAATGATGAAATTATTATCTAGTTTCATTTCCATGTGTTTTTTTGGATAAAAATGATAAAATTTGCAAATTTTTGGATAAAATGGACTTACCATTATCGAAATAGAATTTATGGAAGTCCATGCCTTCCACCAAGTTACCCATGGCCTCAGGTTCGAAGGCCGTTAGATGAGGATCGCAAATTTTCCTGCAAAAAAACAAACGTTTGTATCAATCAAAATTCTAAAACATACAATCAGAGAAAATAAAACAAGCACAAGATGAAAATAGATTTTCGCGTTTACATTTCGAAATATTGAAATAAATCAATTATTTTTCTTATCCAATACATTCCAAACAAAACGGACTATTTTAAACTGAGAATATATTTATATAATAAAAAGTCCTTCAAACATTCGCAAAAATGAATTGGAAAATAAATATATGCGAGATGAAAGAAAAAAAAAAGTAGCCAAAACGTATACAGTTTTGAAATTATACATACATTTTTGTAAAACAATTTTTTAAATTGAAGAAAATTGATAATTTCTTTAAAAAAGTTGCAAAATGTATATGAAAATAACTAAAATTTGTAATGTGTACATTTGATTAAAAAAAAAACAATATTTAGAAGGTAAAAATAGAAGAAATTTATGAAGAAAACAAACACAAAAATTAACTGATTATTGGATAAAACTTGAAAACTTTGATAAATCAATTTTAAATATCATATTTTTCATATCAAACCATTACCACAACCACTTTGATTTTTTGTAAAAATTGAAAAACCGAAAAATTTGGGAATTTTTGATAAATCAATGTGAAATGTTTTAAATATTCATATTTCTATGTAAATAAAATGTATGAGAGAAAAAATGTACAAAAATGTAAAGTTTTACTCAGTTTAAAACATTGATAAAATTAGTTTAAAAAATTGCAACTTTTAGTTCAAAAAGAAAAATATGTTTGTAATAAGAAAATGTTGAAATACTCACGTGTAAGCTTCGAAATCGCCCGTGTTGATGGCTTCGATGAGTTGTTCGGTCATTTTGATGATTTCCTGCCGTCTCGCTGTCGATAGAGAAAACAGTCAGAAAGAACAAATTTTACGCACGTTCAAATACGAAAACGACATCGAAAGGAAACGAACAAAATAAAATTTAAAAAAAAAGATATACATTATAAATATATATATATGAAGATATCGAGGGTCTTAACATTATAAACATAGTCTGTTGTTGTCTGTTGGAAAAATGATGAAGAGAGAAATCGGACGGACACCACATGTTGTTGTTATAAACAAACCAAAAAGAAAAAAACAATAAAAGTTTGTGTAAGTCATCCTGCACTTAGCGTAAACCTCTAGAAGAAACTCTACCATTTGGATGGCACCAATTACCACTGGTTTATAAGGGGGGGACAAGAACGCAAAACAAAAGAAGAAACGGAGAAAGATTCGGTTCGATTAGTTAGCATGCATTCGCCTCATCCTCGACGCCTTCGAAACAATCTTAGTAAAGTTAGTAAATAGATACAAAAAAAAAAGGAAATATAGTTAAAATCAAGCAAGCGGACAACTTGAGAAAACTTGATAAACTTGTAATTTTATTTATATAGAAATATTTATATATTAATATTAATTATAATAATAATAATAAGAAAAGGAAGAAAATAGGTGTTGTGTGTTTCGTGTGTTAATTAATAATGGTGTGAGTTTAGTTAATAATAAACAATAGAAAAAAAAAACAAAAGAGAGAGAGATTAGAAAATAATAAATATTTTGTAGCATTACCTGAGGTCTGCGAGTTTGTGGATAGTTGTGTGTACGGCTTTTCCGGACAAACAATCCTTATTTCTACAAAAACGAAGGGCGAAACAAGCCGAGTTAGTTTATACAGCATTGACATGCACCAAAAAAAAGTAAACGCATCGTGTGTTCGTTAAAGTGAATATACAAAAAAAATAAAAATTAATAATAAATAAAATAAATATATTATATAATAAATAATAGTAGTAGTAAAAAATAAATAAATCCTTAATTAATTAATTCATTAATTAAAGTTGTCTTTCTAAGGTAAGTAAGCTTCCTGTGTTTGGGTTATATTAAAAGAAAAAATAAGGTGATATAAGTAAGTGCTTCGATTAATTAAGAAAAAAAAAATCTTGACGATTTTTTTTTTTTTTTAGTTGGAAATTATTTTCGGTTTCAGCGAATAAATTTCAAGCAATATTTGTTGTTTTTTGGGGTGTTTCTTTTTTTTCTTTTTTGTTTTGGTAGTGGTTGGTACCTTACCGTCGACGTCTTCCTTAACACTCGCATGCAACATCGAATCGTCTGGGAGGAAGGAAGATGAAGAAGTAGAAGAAGAAGAAGAAAAGAAGAAGAAGAAGCATCGGTCATGCATGCATCCGAAGATCGAAGGGGCCCAACGGCAGCACATCGCGCGCACACACACAAACAAAAGAAGAGGAAAACAAAAGAAGAAATGAAAAACAAAACACACAAGCAAAACGTTTGTTGTTGCTGTTGTTTCATATTTTGTTTATCATTTTCATTTGTGCCTCTGCTCATTTTTTTTTTATTTGTAATTACCTCGTTTCGCGTAAACAACACCAAGGTTCGCGCGCTGATAGCATTTTTTTGTTTTGTTTTGTTTGTTGTTTGTTTGTTTTTCAATCGGAAAATACATGGGGAAAAACGACCTTTTAATGCGTTTCTATTTTTATTGTTATATCCATTAAAAGCGCTCGCTTCGATTACAATTTACAGGATATTCTAATTAACGGCGTTGATTTGTACGTGTTTCCAAGCAAATCATTTCATTTCAAACTTTCTCGGAAACTATAATACATAGAGTGGATCCAAAAGATGCATATGAAAGCTACTGAATTGGGGGAATGTAGAGAGTATTGATATATTACTGTGGTTTTATCTATTCGGCAGTAATTCATGTTCAAAGTTGAAAAATTGAAAAAAATAACAGTAGAAAAAGCAGTGTTTTCACATTTTACAAATTTTCTCAGAAACTGTTATAGATAGAATGGATCCAAAAGGTGTATTTGAAAGTTACTGAATTGGGGAATGTAGAGAGTATTGATATATTACTGTGGTTTCATCCATTCACTAGAAAAAGAAGTGCTTTCACATTTTACAAATTTTCTCAAAAACTGTTATTAATAGAATGGATCCAGAAGTTGCATATGAAAGCTACCAAATTGGGGAATGTAGAGAGTATTGATATATTACTGTTGTTTCATCAAATCGACAGTAATTCATGTTCAAAGTTGAAAAATTGAAAAAAATAACACTAGAAAAAGCAGTACTTTCACATTTTACAAATTTTCTCAGAAACTGTTATACATAGAATGGATCCAAAAGATGCATATGAAAGCTACTGAATTGGGGAAATGTAGAGAGTATTGATATATTACTGTGGTTTTATCCATTTGGCAGTAATTCATGTTCAAAGTTGAAAAATTGAAGGAAAAAAATTACACTAGAAAAAGCAGTGTTTTCACATTTTACAAATTTTCTCAGAAACTGGTATAGATATAATAGATCTAAAAGGCAAAGAGTATTGACAAATTACTGTGGTTTCATCCATTCGGCAGCAATTCATATTCAAAGTTGAAAAATTGAAGAAAATATCACTAGAAAAAGCAGTGTTTTCACATTTTACAAATTTTCTCAGAAACTGTTAT